AAGCCACAGAAACAGCAGGGCCTCCATGCTGAGCGGCTGTGCTCTCAGCTGCCTGTGACGACGGCTGCAGGAAACTTGTTCAAATCTTCTCTCAGTGTGAACTGGCAGCCAGGCTGCTTCAATCGCTCTTTCAGGTCTCTGAGGTAAGACAAAAAAGAGGAAGGATTCCATCCATTCTCCTTCATGTCATTTTCAATTCGCCGTCAGCACTTATTCTTGTTTCTACTTCTTTTTTTTTTCTTCATCTTCCATTCATGCTGAGTTTTCATCCTGCCGAGCTGAGCTCCAGCCCAGCACTGAGTCAGACACAGAGGTGTAAGAATTCATCAGTCCGTCCCTCAGATCTTTAACTGATAATGAGGATTTACTCTTTGTGTTCCCAGAACAGACTTGCTGACAGGGCAGCCATCGCAGCTTCACGGTTGATAATGCACTCGAATCTGCCTCAGGGCTGGAATCAGATGTTTGTCTTTACCCACAGCACGACGGTGAAGATGAACTCTGGTAGAAGAATAGCATTGTTTCCCAAAGACTGGGTTCGCGACCCTCAGGTGGGTCGCAAGAATTTTTTTTTTTGGGGGGTTGTCTCAGGAGTTTACGCATAATGTCTATTGACTTCGGTCGCACAGTTTTGTGACTTTTAGAATATGGGTCCCCAGAAAAACAAGTTTGTGCTATAGTACTCTATATTGACGTGATCTCCATGACAACCTGAGGTCAAACCTGAGGTCAAACCTGAGGTCAAACCTGAGGTCAAACCTGAGGTGGCTGAGACTTAGGGTCGTTATGGTCAGAAATATGAAGATCTGAATGATGATCGGCGTTAATCACAAGTTAAGTTCATTAAATTAAGTTAAGTTAATTCAACTTTATTAAGAAGAATATTTTCTAGTTTTTCAAATGTCAGTTGAAGACAGATATTTTGTAAACCATGGTGTAACTACTTCATAATGTATTAATACCATTTGTAAACCATGATGTAACTACTTCATAATGTATTAATACCTGTTTCTGCAGTCGATTATTTTTTTATACAAGATATCACACAAATATCGTACATTGCTCTGTGTAATATATATTTCTTCAATTTATCGAGGTAGGAAACTCAGCAGCAGATTCTTTTTGATAAAGAAATTAAACTATTTTTTTTACAATCCTACAGGCCACACATAATGATTTGGTGGACCGCATTTGGCACTGTATGAGTTGCTGCCACCTAGTGACTGGAGGCTTCTTATCATTCAAGCATTACAGCCGTGGTACGTAATACCCCGCCCCCGGCACCTCACCATGAGAAGTAGCCCATTAGCCTAACAGTAGTCGGCTGTTTGCAAAGCCTAAAAAAAAATAATTCTTGTCAAAATGATTATAGTTTTGGCCAAAAATGAATTCATTAGTAAAAGTCACACACGATGAAACGGATCTGATCATTTTCAGATAACGCCACGATTGACATAGTTTTAAATTCAGAGGCGCTCTCTCTGACGTGTTGGCTAACGTCTGCTGATTTTTCTGTTGTTTTTCTGTTCTGTTTTTTTTTTGGTCGGACATCAAGGCTGAAATCTCTTATTACCTGTGTCTGCAGGAGGATTTCATGAACCCGTTTAAGACCCTGGCTTAATCCAGCCCCTGCTTTTTAAGTCAGATAAACCCTGGTGTCATCCCGCCGTGTTAGCAGAGGTAACGGCGCTCTGTGGGAAATGTCAGCTTGATATGAAATCTGCAGATTTCACAGGGGGGAAAAAAATACAGTTATCTGCGGAGGGTTCCACATCAGGTGAGGATAAGAAGTGATTCCTGGGGAGATCTGTCTGCGGCTCAGAGAGGATTAACGCTATCGTTCCTGTCCGCACTAATCCTGTTACAAAGAGACGGATATTATTTAGGAAATGTGTTTGTAAAGTGGTTTTAATAATACGGATATTTGTGCTTTGAGGCTGACGCTGGAAATGTTCTTTCAGGATCAAAGAGGTGATTTTTCACAGTTGTACACCTCATGGTGGAACAAGTCTGCGTGGAAGAAATCCAGGTGGAAGTACATGAGGAGGAATAGGTCTGGGTGGAATGTTTGTACAACTATTAGCTCTTCAGGAACCTGGATTGCACAAGTCCTAGATGTGGGTTACACCAACATTGGACTTGGCTTTCCAGTCTGGACCCAGGTCCTGGTCTGTGACCTGTCTCTGATTGATTCTTATTACCCAGGACTTTCTAGTAGAAATCTCCACAGACCTCTCCCCCAGTCTCCCCCAGTCTCACCCAGGGCCTGGCCACAGTTTGTCTCCAGGCTCCCTCTCTGGTCGCTCTGATCTACAGCCTGTATTTTTAACATATTTCTCTGGCTCTCATTGAAGAAATTGGATATAATTTGATTTCTGTCAGGAACCGGGGGAAGGGATTGAGCCAGCGCTACGAGTCTCAACCCAATTAGTGACCTTGTTCACTGAGCACATCTCATCTTTCCTTCTCACTCCGCTCCTCGTCTCACTCTCTACTCACCCCCCACTTCCCCGCAGCCCTTTCTTCTCGGCTGGACCTTGTGTCCTCCCTCTATTCTCCTCCTCCTCTTCTCAGGTCTCTGGTTTGTCTCTTCGTTTTAACTCACTCTCTCTCTCTCTCTCGCTCTCTCTCTCTTTTTCTATCTACACTCAAATGAGTCCGTCTTGCTCCAGGCGTGAGGCCGCTGTGGTTAAATCAGATTGGGGCGAGGTTATATTTGGATTGTGTGGAGACGCAGGGTGAGGCATCAAACAGCGGGGAGATGAGTCCGTGTCCTACTTCACATCAGAACACGGTCTGACAGCGGTTTCGCGGGGCACTGTCAGTTGACATCTCCAGTCCTGGTGGGTGAATACAAATTTAAATGCAGCTTGACTAATTATTATCACCACTCTCTGACCAGTCTGCTGCTGGAGGCGCTCAGAGATTTGTCCCATCCAGGGGTGTTACTAGAGGCTGGAAACTACAAGTAGTGATGTAACGATCACTCACCTGATGGTTCGCAATTGTTTTGTTCACGATATGATTTTAGAAGCAAAATGAGCTCCAGACAAATCGTGACCAAAATCCTCCTGATCTTTTATTTGTAAAAACTCACCACCAACTGAAATGGTCTGTGAACCTCATCAACTGAAATCGTTAACAGAATCGAAAAAAAAAAAAGTCACAAAAAGTTCTTTCATTCCAGAAACACTGCACATCACCGTTGATCTCCTCTGATTAAAAGTCAAACTGCTCTGGTCTGACTGAACTGGCTAACTGTCGACATATTAAACAACAAAAGAATATGAAAAAAAAATCTGAACCGGAACGAGTTCCTTTCTTGTTGGTGTCTGTTCCAACACCTGAATGTCACTCGCCTACGTAGGGACCTGACGTCTGGGTTTAATAGCGGGTCACAAGCAATGTTTTTAGGCGCATAGCGCCACCTACTGTACAAGAGTGTGTAGTGTCAGGGTATGACCAGTGTCCACTGTGATGCGAAATTAATTTTTATTTCAACCGATGAGAATTGTCACGGGTTTGTCTTGATTTTAAACTAATGAAACAACATGCATTGTTACATCACTAACTGTAAGATATTTGTATCTGTATAACAGTTAGGGATTGAGAACATTAGGGTTCCAGACAGAGAGACCACAGACCACTGATCCACTGACTCAGATATTCACTGCTGATTGAATACTTTCTAATAAAGCATCATTTTCTGACCAAAGACCGGAGACCTTCTCTAACGAAGCCTGTGAATTCACCTCTTTGAACTTTAATTTCAGCCTTGTCATTTCAGTCATTTGATGACAAACTTGTTTTTCTCTCCTTCCTTTCAAATCAGTGAGAAGAAAAAAAAACCCTGTCTGTTATTGTCAGCCCTCATTCATGACAGACGCTCGGAGACTCCGTCTGCGCCTGTCGTCCCACGCTAACGTTCAACATTGAATAGCCGGAGAACAGAGCAGCGCCGCGGTCTGTTATTCACACCAAGAGCTGCCGCCAAAGACGGCGTTAATGCTGTTGAACCAGACTGACGCCTCACTGCAGATCTGAGGGTTTCACATGTTTAACACCATGCGTTATGGACACACTGGATTGCATTAATATACTGTGTATATATATATATATATATGTGTGTGTGTGTGTTTACTTTGACAGTATGCCATGGGAGGAGCAGAATGATTCACCTCTGATACAGAAGTAAGGGGTCACCAAAATACCACCAAACTTGGGAGGAGCCTCAGCTTTAACCCCTCTTTACTCCCTCGTCTGCCTGGATTTAGGTGTTGGTACCAGTGAGTTTGAAAGGCTTACACCCCCCCCCATGCCCCCCTGCACCTCCTCCTCCACAGTGTCAGGTAAGACTCAGCTAAGATCCAGACATTTCTGTGACCTTCAAAGGTCACGGATAAAAGGCTCCAGTTCATTGATGGACGCTTCGTGGAAGAATATGAAGATTTTTGTTTCTTTTCTTAGTCCTAACATGTAAAACAACAAAAGACCACCTGTCCTCGTCCCTGTCTCCCAGAACAGCCACCTTCACCACCACTGGGGGCAGAGATGGGGAATCTTTTGATGCCCACTTTATCGACATCTACTCAGGTTGAAAGGCCACTTTCGATGAGACGACGTCAGAACAAAGCCCCAGCTGTTGTCAAAACTGTTTCCACCAGAGAATCAGGGTTCAGTGTTGAGACGACACACTCTTCAGCCCAGATTTAATTTTCTGCTTGAATCACAGAGTGAGAAAGTAATCACAGCGAGGCATGTCATGCTTCAGACAAGTTGTCTTCGCAGACAGAGAATTTCAACATCTGTCACCACCAGATTCCCGCCTTGGCTCCTCCAGGAGCTGCTGTAGACGAGCTGTGATGTTTCTCCTTCCTGCGTGGGAGAATTTTGTTTTTTTGTGGTGATGATCTGTAGACATTTTCAGTGTTTATTGAGACAATTCTGGTTTTCTATGTTCGGATGAATAATTCAGTCTGGACACGGGAGCGCAACAGGAAACAAATCCATGATTGATTCTTCTTCTCTTCACCGTCAGATGAACTCCATCCTAACTCCATTATTACTCCATGCTTCTTTAAGCTGTAATCCCACCTTTCATGCGTTTAAATGCCTGGCTCCTCTGCAGAGACCCCCCCCCCCCCCCCCCAACAGTGGGTGGGGGGGGACATCCTACCTTCACACACAGACCCACAAAGGTCATTGATCTCATCAGTAAGAACGTTCCTACTGTAAGGGTGTGTGTGAGTGTGTGTGTGTGTGTGTGCATTCATGCGTTGCTGCATTAGAAGGTGTACGGGGGTGTTTTGTTGTTTTATTAGGGCCATGAATATTGATGAGCAGCCAGCACAGAGGACCAGATGAGGTTTTCGATGGTACTCAGCTGTGCATTGTGAGGAGGCCTCACCTGTTTCACCTCTATATGAGGAGTCCTTTGTCACTCCTGGAGACCAATTCAAGACGAATGTAAGGAATGCAACAGCTCTGCCTTGACTCATTATCAGCTGCTTAATTAAAGTAGAACCTGTTCATCGACGTGGTGTCACGGACAGACGGCTCCACCAGGTCAAAAGACAAGCTGCACAGCAACACCTTCTCCAACCTCTGCGCTCGTCACCTCTGAAATCTAGTAGGTTTTTGGATAGCACTACCTCTGAAAATTGTGGGGGGCAGTGTTGCGCACAAAAGAATTAAGAAGAAGAAGAAGACAATGACACAACAACCACAGAAAAGTTGTTGTTTTGAACCAGACCTCCACCGTGTCCTCCTCTCATGACCACCTTCTCCACCGTCACAATCAGTCTGGACTCTGTACTGCCCCCTAGTGGATGTACTGCTTAACAACCAAGTTAATGTTTCATCATTATACATTTTGTCAACTGTTCGTTGATATCAGTCACGTCAGAGTAACTGGAGCTGTCGTCAATTTTCACCAGTTTTCACCAGTTTTTACCAGTTTTTACCAGTTTTTACCAGTCACTGGATCATTCTTCCTCCGTTTGTCCTTTATCTGCGTCCGTATGAGATTGAAACTCTCTCTGCTGTCAACATGTTGCTATTCCTGTGGTGAAACAGGATTCACATTGAACTGTTTCTCAACATTCAGTCAATGGAGCCACAGGGGAGTTACATCAGAGCAGGAGAACCCACGGATTGCTTGGGGGGTGGGGGGGTGTACACACTGAGAAAACCCCCCCCAGAGTCAGGCTATAAAACACCAGTATGGATTTTTACTACCTTTATTTAGATTTTTTTATTATTATTATTTTCTTATTTGAGGTCACCACAGTGGGTTTTTACTGACTTCCTGTTGCAGCTCCCCAACTGTTTTGGGATTCGAGGACTAGGTGGATTTGAACCCAGGACCTTCAGATTGTCGGGGAGAATCCTACAGCTACATAATTTGCACTCTTGAAAAATACATGATATTGTCAAAAGACGGACTGTTTAGTGTGATCACTTTGGTACTTTGTTATGGTGTGATCTTTTTATTTTTATTTTTGTTTGAAACTGTAAAAACCAACAATCATTGTGGACCGTTGGTGCACCTGCAGCTAATTGTTGGTCACCTGTTCTAATTCCCAAACGTCGGGAGCTGCGGTCTGTTACTGCTGGCAGAGAACAGCGCAGCTATTGTCTTCAGAGAGAAAAGCTCTTTTCATATTCATTTGTGCAGGTTTATCATAAAAGGCACAGACAGACTGAGGCGCAGGCACTCACGCTGGGAAGGTAGTGAAATTCCCTGTTTGTAGAGGAGAGCAGACGGCGGTGCCCAGTTATTTAAAACACTGACAGTGTGATTATGTGTGTGTGTCATTTGCCTTGTCAGTTTTAGTTTAACAAGCAGCGTCAGGAACAAGACTAAATACAGCCAGGAGCTGCGAGCTGGGGATGTTGGTTGATGGATGGTGGGGAGCTTCAAAGGATGTAGAAGTGAGCTGGAACAAAATAAAGTGTTTATTTACAAGAGTGTTAGCACTGAAAAGGCTTTAACGAGCTGCGAAGAGACAGAAAAAATAACTTTTGACGATGAAGGAAACAACACAAAGCAGCCGACTCATGACAAGATGCTGCCTACTCTAGAACAATATTTATCTTTGGAGGTGGGGGTGGCGGGGGTTTTATCTATATGAAGGTGTCACTGTGTCATCACTTCTGTTTTTGTCAATATTTATAAACAGTTACATTTTTTATTAGTATTGTGATGATAAGTATGTTGAATTGCACGTTGCATCTGGTAAGTTTCCTTCCTGTCATTATTTTTTTTAAACGTTGTCTTAATTGGCACTGTACCAGAGAATACAAAAAGAAATGCACTTTCTGTAACTAAATAATTAAAATAATAAAAAAATAAAAATGTTCCATAAACGCATCTTAACCCTTTTACATTCTTAAAAGTTTTGTTTTAATGGGAAATTAAATTGCTTCGAAACCCTTTGCCAATTCAGTTAATTTTCTTTGAAAAGTTCAGGTGTACATTTTAGTCATGTATATTGCGGTCATTTTTTTTTAACGTCGTGTGATGCATTTTGTATCATTTAAAAAATTGAAATATTGTTTGAGAGAAATTTGGCCGAGTTTGGCGACACAAGAAGCATTTTAAATAAGTTGATCCGATTTTTTAAAAATACAATTATTTAAAAAGCAAACCTTTAAGAAACTTCAATGAAATACTTAATAAATTCAAAAATATTTGAAATTTTATTTGTATAAATAATTAAATATAATAATTACATTTTTAAAAAAATGTTTAAATATACTTTATTTTCGTAAAAGTCGCTACACATTAAGTCCTCGTCATCGCTGTCAGTGGATTTACACTCCGAGGAGTTAGGACACGCCTTTACTTTTCTGTGTCCAATCACAAGACAGAGCCTGGTGAGGTCATCACGTCGGTGCGTCACGCCTCCTCAGCGCTGCTTCCTGTGTGAGCAGTTCGACTGGATCTGCTCTGTGTGCTCTCAGACTCCGGCATGGGCAACTGTCTGCTCGTCAACTTTTCGACGGAGGTCTTTCTGCGCTCTTCTCACCTCTGACACCTCCCACACCTGGAGGACATGGAGTTCTGAACGGAGCCGAACCAAAACCGAGCCATTAGTAAGTCAGCTGCAGCGTAAAAAAGTCATTTTAAGGGCACTTTGTTGATGAGTTGCTGAAGGAAACGGGGGAAAATGCCAGTCGCAACTCTTCTGCCTTTCGCCGCGACCCCGAGTCGGAAGTCTGCCAGTCCGACCTCGTTCAGGTTGACAGAGAAATTCATCTTGTTATTAGTCTTCAGTGCTTTTATAACTCTCTGCTTCGGAGCTATTTTCTTCCTTCCGGACTCCTCCAAGCTGCTCAGCGGAGTTTTCTTTCATTCCTCCGCGGTGGAGACCAACACCCGCAACGGTCCGGACAGCAGCGACTCAGGTTCGGCTGGCAGCGACGACAGGATTCTGGCGAAAATCAGGAAAGACCACGAAAAAGCGCTGCTGGAGGCCAAGGATACTCTCCAGAAACGACCAGATGAGATTAAGCAGGACATCATTAACGAGAAGGCGAAACTTTCCAGGGATGGTACGGGTCAAGGTGTGAAAGGTGACAATGATTTGCCAACCGTTGAGTACCGCCGTCCACCCGGGGCCACCGGACACGAACCTCTGGATCCAGAAACCAGGGAGAGACGGAACAAAGTCAAAGAGGTAAAGATCTGTGGAGAAACACTCCAAAAACGACTCCCCGTTAGAATTCTGTCACTTTTTATATTTTTTTCAAATACTGAGTCATTTATGTCCACAATATGAAATAATCCTTAACTGAAAATGAACAACAAATACCTCATTTATAATTCGGCGTAAATATCACAGGTAAACCTACACGGAAACATCACAAAAATTACAACTTTGCAAAGTGTCCCGGCGGTGCGCCGATTTGCTGTCGTTGCTGCGCAGTATGTGGCAATAGGCTGTAGCCGAAACATATACAGTACATGCCGTTTCCCGTAAATGCGTCTGGAGCAGAGTTGCTTCTGAGCAGCCGAATAATGCGGACCACCGTGTGGGGTTCGGCCACATGCTTCTGGTCATGTGGTATGCGTTTTGTGATCAGCTGCCCACGGATTTGACACTAACTTGGTTGGCTTTTTAACTGCATTTGCGCAACGCACTGTTGAACGGCAGTCGCTGGGGGAGGAGTTGGAGGGGAGGGAGGGAGGGAGGGGGTCGAGACAGGAAAGAATGCACCCAGGATTCGTTTGCCCCCTCTGGGCAGGTTTACTAGTCTGGGGAGTTTCTTGTTTTGGGAAAAACATTGGAGCAGGTGCTGGAGCCTTGTTGCTGATCAGGCCTGTGTTGTAAATACCAGCAGTGGATGGGTTTTCACAGCTGGTAATTGTGACATCCAAGCATTGAAATACCACTGAGTCCCGTCCACGCAGCACAGACAGTGACTGTGCCCAGGCACACATCAGCATGTAGACGGGCAACGGTGGAAATCAAACCCCAAACCTTTTGCTTGAAGGATTGCTGATTAGTGCCGCTGTACTACAGCACGTCAGTATCTGTAGGATTTCAGTTTCCTTCAGTCCATTTGTAAAACTTGGAAGTGGAACAGTTGATGATTCAGCAGAAAACTCAGACTCTTGTCTCGTCAGCAGAACTGACTCCAGATCAGTTAGAGATGTCAACAATCAGTCACGTGACCTCCATGGGGCGTCAACCCTGAGTGGATGTTGTCACGGGTGAAATATTGAAATCTATCGTTCTATTAATGTGTAGTTTGGTTACATTACTGTTACATTTCTCCTGCATACACCACATAGGCCACTTCGTAGGGTGCCACCTGCTGGATGAGGTGTTGAAGGAAAACATTTTTATCATGTAAATTTAAAAAAAAAATGAAGAAAAAGTATATGTTGA